CTAGTAGCGATGCCCTTTGCTCCTGGTAGCGTCCTTGCTCCTAGTAGTATGGCCAGGAGCCCCTAGTAGCGTCCTTGCTCCTAGTAGCGATGCCCTAGTAAATGATTGCTGCTTCCCTTGGAAAAAAAGCGTAGCCCGTCACTGCAGTTGAAATATGCGCCGACAAAATCCGACAAATGCCAGATTTCCACAGATGCGCGCACGACGATGAAACAAGCAGACAAGCAGTACTAACATTTTATATTTACGTAACTGTTAATGAATTCATGTGGGCTGACACCAGATTGCTTAAAAACCAGGTGTGTAGCATGTTCCTTTGTGTTCAGGGATATGCCAAAATGTAGATGCGCCTTTTTAATGTAATGTGAGCATTTGAATGCCTTTTCCATCCTTTTCCAGTTGCTTCCTACCAATAGCCTCACGCACCAGGGGAGGGCAACAAGACGCGTTGGCAAAGATGGCTGATCACCTTCAAGCGGTTCACTGGCAAGCTGCCTAGTCCTGGTCGCAAGTGAAGAGACGAGAGAAGAGAGACTGGATACGAGAGGAGTTGTTTGGCCTCATTGACGTTGGATTGTTTGTTTCGGGGAGAAAGGATGCGTAAGTCACTTTGATTGAACAGTTCCTGGTGAATTGTCGTGCCCAATTCGTGCGAATCATGTCGTTCGGCGATGTTCAGCGGCACGATTTGCCCAGAGAGGTTGGCAGCTGCGGGGCTTAGGTGTCACACTGAACATTGCTGTGATTTTTGGCTCCTGGGTTTGGGTCTGAGATGTTTTGCTAGACAATTGAAGGCTGAGACGCAACAGGTGGTCAGGCAACTGCCACAGTCGTTTTCTTTGCAGCTTGGATGTTTTCAAAAAGCGCTTAGCTGAAGGAGAGAACATGCAAACCACTGTGTGTTCCGTTGTGCACGACTTCAACTGTCGAGTGACCTCAAGAATGGAGAATAAATTACATGTCCTCATATATCCCTGATTAGGCCCCAATTGGTGTCCTCCATTCTGAATTCTTGTTTGTGTCAGGTGGCCATTGCCTACTCTCTTGTGGAGAAACCCACGATCCAGGTCTTTTTGGAGTCAATCACTGATCAGGCGCGGTCACAGAATTGTGAGACGATCAACCTGCCAGGATCCTTCAGTAAAACCTAAAACCTCTAGATATAAGTTGAGAAGTTAGCAATTGGTTAAAGAATATACTGATATATATATAATTATATAATTATGTAATATAGTACTGTATATATGTATAAGTAAGTAGTTGCAGAGGGTAGAAGGATTTGCTTGTTTTGACAAACCAAAACTCGCTTGCGTTCGATTTTGCATGGTTCTGCAATTAGGCCTGCCCTCAACCTAGCAACAACACATTCCTAATTTGGAGGCTGCATGATGCTGCGACCAGTCTTGGCACGGTCATGTCATTTCACCATCATCACTGACTGGCTATTGCATTATTTCTATGAACAATTACACGAATCAAAGCCACTTTGAAGGGCAGGTGGATCTTCTTGGCATGCATGCTGCTCAGGAGCCATTGCGAAGCATCCTGGCCACAATCGGCGCCTTCGCGCCCTTTGGCCTTGGATTGGCCATGTGACACGCCTGTAAAAGGCTTTCATGAAAGATCATGCTTCAAGAAAGGTGTTTTCCAGGTGTTTGTTTTGTTTCCCGATGTTATTCCTCGACCAAAGCTCGGCTGGCGAGGCCAAACCTGGTCATCGCTGCCGTGGGCCTGGCGCCAAGGGGAGGATGCCCTTGACCTGAGATTGTGTGGGGATGCAGACTGGCACGTTTGTCACTACCAAGGCCAAGTCTTGCCAACCATCACCAAGACACTCACAGAGTTCGAGGTCGCCAAGACATGCAGCATGTTGTAGACCTTTCTTATCCGTTCGTAGATAGGGGCCATGACCGGAAAAGGAAAATAAGGTGTAAAAAAACAATTAAGAGCATCCCCGTGATTTGCAGGGGATGCTTTTGGTTTTTCGCTGCAAGCCCGAAGGCATGGGATCCCGCCTCACGCGCACGGCACAACTTGTGGCGCCTCTTCGTGGGGAAGGTGCCAATGGCATGAAGGGATGGATGAAATGGGTGACACGGTGAGGCCAGAAACTCACGGAAGGGTTGGTGTTTGCTGATGCACTTTGATGGGTTGGGTTGGGGTACCTAGGTTGCCTGGTTCCTATGGTTCTTCTTTCCACCATTGGTTGCATTAGCAGAGATGATGTGAGCTGCTCGCAGCTAGAGATGTTATCTATCACTTTAAGCAGGATTGACCGAAACCCAGGTACGTCAGTTCCCCCGAATCATGAGGTGTTCCCTCGTGGCGTGGTGACCGATAGGAAAGAGAAGCCAGCTCTGGTCTTTATAACTTTATACAAAAGAAGCCTTGATGGAAGAAGATGGTAATACCGCAGGCCCTTGCCTGGGTCATTTGTAGCATTTCCTCACTTGATATTGCCTTTGGCACCTAGTATGACCTTTCCTATCCTTTCCTCGAGTTGTACTTCCAATGGACCCTTCAAACGACTCCTGTTCAAGTTGTGATTGGTGCGTGGCCATCCACAAGCAATAAATTAGGGCTGACAGGCGTTGCAGTGCTGTGAGTATAAGTTGAGGCCAAAGAGCAAAGGTCGTCACTCCTTTGCCAGGTGCTCAATGCCACTGTGTTCATTGCCTTGAACGTAGTCCCAGCTCAGTTTGGTCAGTGTTTGGAGCACCAGTGTATTTTTAGTTCCAATCTGTGTCTCAAAACATGAACAGGGGCTCCGGCTGAGTATTTTAGTCCAGCGTTGGATGGGTCGCTCGAAAGTATTGGGTGAACAATTGATGCGATCCAGATGTTGATCACTTTTTGGGCTTGGGGGGACTTCAGTGATGCAATTGGTTCAGCATTTATGCATCCGGACATTAATATTACATACCAACTGTGCCCGTATTGGAATTTCTGTCGCGTAAAAAATTTGGAAGATATTGGAAGCAGCTCTCTGAAGAGCCAATTGGTCACATTGGATGTCACACGACTTCTTTTCCAAGGTTTCATCATGCTTGAGCTAACAGACACATAAATGTTATTATATATATAAATATGTTGTTAGGAAGTGTGCTTGTGGACACAGCTTGATGCATGTGTAGTTCTCTAGAACTAGGACTTAAGACCTGCTTTGACCTATGTATTTTGCCTTTCTGTTTATTTTCCAGGACTATTTCATATTCTACCAGGACTATTTCATATTCTACCAAGACTATTTCATATTTGTCCAGAACCATCAGATTTTTTTTCCAGAACTATTTCATTTTTCTGAATGGCCATGGGTGGACTCAGTTTTGTGAGCGCGCTGAGTTTGTCGTGCATGTTGCTGTTGTTGTTGTTGTTGCGAGTTGGCAAGTTTGCGGACATTGGAGAACTTCCGGTCAATCTCAAGAACTGGCTTCTGGTGGATGATGGTGGATGTGTTTTATGTGGACAGTTACTGTTAGAATTGTTTGTTCCGGGGACTGTGGTTGCAAGCACTTGGTTGGTGGTCCTTGGCCAGGATCGTTGGCCTGTGGTGTTTTCCGCGTTGGAAGAGCCCGTAGAGCTTTGAAAGGTGCTTTAGGAATCCTTGTTTGGACATTTGTGTTGCAGTCACTTTCCATGGATGTGGTAGCTACTTTGTTTGCTGTGTCAAAGCGACTCATGCAGAAGGGCCGTAAATTCAATTCCGACTCTTGAACCCAAGAGCAGCTCAAACGGCAGCTTCTGGACTGTGTGTTTAGCAACGCTTCTCCGATGATCTACGATGTACTTTTTTGGTGGAGTGT